AGTAGTTAATGGCCTGGAAACAATGTCTTTAAACATACTAGGGGAGCAGTTCTGTGGCCGTTCTTTTTGCAAAGGTACCATTGATTTCACAATGCGAGGAAACCTGCATTAAAGTTGCAGCAAGAGGGCATAGCTTTGGCGTCAGAAGCCAGGGATTTGAATCATCTACCTAACTTCCTTGTTTGAGCCTTTGCTTCTCATCTGTAAAATGGGATTGGAAATCCCCATTCTTCCCGTGCCCCAGGTCTTTGTGGGAACCAAATGAGAAGATAGAAAGCACTCTGCCCCAAGTCTGAGATAGTATCACTTGCAACCTGTTTGGTGAATTTGTACTTTGTGTGTCAGGGCCTTTTGGAGCCTTGTGCAGCGTGGCTCTGCTTATTCTTTGGATTCCCTGGGGCGACTTAGCTCTGCTGCCGGTGCCTGGAGCACTGGAGAAACGCAGGACCCCCCGCCCGCCCCTGGAGCGTGAGTGGAGTCGGCAAAGAGCTAGGCCAAGGGAGATCCTTATCCAGGCAGCACCGGGAGCACACTTGTGCTGATTACAGAGGCCTTGTGGGACAAAACAGAGTCTGATATGTGTAATCCAACCTTGTCGATACCACAGCCAGCTTTGTATTTATTTTTTTTCCAAGCCTTTCACTAGTTGACCTCTACTAGGTGAGAGATCAAGGCTGTCACATAAAGGACATCTTCTGACCTGGCCAGACATCAGTTGTTTCTGGCCTCAGACAGATGGGTTATCAGTAGTCACTCCAGCACACACGTGTTAAGGGTCCACATTTCCCATGATGCAGCACGACTGAGTGTCTGCCAGCTGCCTCCTGTGGACGCCACAGGAAAGTGAGACCCAGCCACAGAATATCGGTCAGTCTCCCTGAGACCCCAGTTCATACCCTTTCTTACCAGAACACTTCGACCTTCTGTGCTAGGGCTTGTTACTTCCCACTTGAAGCTTCTACAGTAAGCTTCCCTTTCCCTGTCCCTAGCAACCCCGCCCAAGGCATTCTGGGAGCCCCTGTGCAGTGAGTGGAGCCCACGCTGGTCTGGGAGAGCTGGGCCTTGCCCCTGGGATTTGCCCTCATTGATCTCAGACTGTGGCTGGGCACTGGGCCAGGGCCTGAGAATCAGAGGCCAGGCCCATTCTTTCCTGGTTCCCCCTTCGTCTGGTCCTCCTCTGGAAGGACCCAGGCTCTCTGGTGTTTTGGTGTCTTTGTGTCCTTCATCCTGTTCGGTAAAGGCTGGTTTCCTTCCTCCTTACTGTTTCTCTCTCTGGCCTCCCTTCGAGTTCTTTTCCTTTCCTTTCTAGACAGCCCTTTTGTTTAACTTTTAGAAAATGTTGTATGTCTTGCTGTCCTTTGGAATCGGGGCCTTCTTTGGTCCTCTCGGTGTGAGGCAGTGTGGTTTCCTATGGAAGCTGTCCTGTAGCAGGGGTGGCCAGGGTGGTGTTTGTGGAGCTCTGCTTATGCCAGGAGGATGACACTATCCAGTGGTTGGCACTCCACATGGTCATTGTGAAGGTAATTGTGCTGACAAACTCCTCAGAGCTCTGAAAGCACTTCAATGGTTTCCAAAAGCTTGTCTGTGCCCTGGCTATTATGTGCCACCTGGCAGGATTTATCTCGGGCCCAGTCCCCAGGGTGAGGCATTACTGTGGTTGAAAAGGACTGAAGAAGACACCAAACTGTGAAGTATTGTGTTTAAGAACACATCATGAGTGATTTTATTTTCTCTTTTGAATTTTCCCATTTTTCTATAATTAACATGTATTGCTTTGAGAATGAACATACTGCATACCATAAATGTTCCCTGTGATTTTTTATGTTACAGAGGGAGCTTGTCTAATATACAAATTTCAGGGGCTGGGGATTTAGCTCAGCGGCATAAGCGCCTGCCTTGCAAGCAAGCAGTCGGGAGTTCGATCCCTGGTACCGAAAAAAGGAAAAAGACCAAAAAAAAAAAAAAAAAAAATATATATATATATATATATATATATATGTATATATATGTATAATATACAAATTTCTGGGCCCCTTCTTGGGAGCATCTGATTCTGCTGGCCAGCGTGAGCTAAGGGCTCTTTGACAGCAGCACTCTGGCTAGCTGTGTCAGATGGGTTAGAGACTAAGGCTCTAATACAGCACCTGCATTTTCCTTCCCGATCAAGTGAGTTTGCACAAATGGGCTAGTGAGAGATCCCAGCCTAAAGCCAGGCTTTCTAATTTCTCTTCTGAGAGTCCAGCCACCACCTGTAGTGCCTTCCTTCAAATTCATGAGTTAGAGAGACCAGAATAGCCAGAAGCCTAAACAGTATTCTCCCTGAAGACCAGCCGGTGCCACCCATACCTTCCCAGATCCTTTGCAAGCCTCCCACCTTCTTGTCCAGTAGCGCTTACTGGCCCACAGCTGCTGGGTCCCAGAACTCCCCAAAGTAATGAGGTAAAGGTGTTGCCTTGTCTTATCTCCAGAGAACTCCTTAGCCACTGAACTGTTTGGGATGCTTCAGCGAAGGGAAGGAAAGGGGATCCGCTCTGGTGTGAAGAGAGATGTATAGTGTCACTTGGACCAAAGTGTTAGAGGTATTGCTGGAGGGCCAGGTGGTCTAGCTTCAGTCCAGTCCCAGCCACTTAACTATCAAGTGGCTAAATGACCTCTCTAGTTATCTGTTCTGGGCATGGTAAGCTGTGCCTGCTGTGGGTTTAAGAGGACCATAGAAGTTTACAGTGTGCCAAGAAGTGCGCCACCTGCTCCAGCACACCTCACCCACTTGAGGGTTTCATTCCCGGTACACTTCTGTATGGTTCGCCAGCTGCTGGCCCATGAACTATGTTTTGAAAAGCGAGGATGTAAAAGCACTATCTTGGTTACTTTTATTGTTGCTGGGACAAAATACCTGATACTCACAATTTAAAGGAGGAGAAGTTAATTTTGGCTCACAGTTTTAGTCAGTTGGCTCCAAGAAAGAAACAGGATGGCAGAGGGACCTGGCAGAGAAAAAGATTCTCATGCAGCCAGGAAGCAGAGAGGGAGGGGAGGAGCCAAGGGAGGGTGAGATGACCGCCTAGGTCATATCCCTAGTGACCCACCTTTCTTGACTGTGCCCCACCTCCTGATTACACATTTAGCTACACACATTTCATTGCTGTAGAATGTTACCATCCAGTAATCTTCCAAAAGCCCCACCTCTAAACACACGAGCTTGTAGGGAGCACTGTAGATTTAACCATGGAGCCTGGCCCCCTACCGCATGTTACTGTTATCATTATGGTATTGGTGTTGTTGCCCCTTGGCCTTTTCTGATAGGCACCTGAGAAGTTAGGGTGCAGTGGACTGGCCTCTGCAGGGGTGTGTCCTTGACTGCATTCTCCTTTTCCACCACATGACCTTTGCACCTGTCCACTGTGGCAGCTGGGGAGGCGAGGCAGGAGGAGGAGTCTTCTACTCAGCTGCTCCAGGCTGAATCCATTTTCACACTGCTTTACTCTAACCAGATTTTGTTAAGCTGGGTGTGTTTCCTCTTTCTACGCATCTTTGTTTACAAAACACAAGGGCGCTCTTTGCTCTCTGCCGTGCTGTGGGCCAGGCCTCTGTGCACACCCAGCTTCTCATGCTGTTCTAGTATGAGGCTGTGCCTCCAGCCCTAGGGCTGTGTTGGGAAAGAGCCATTCTGTTGCCATGGCCACAAGGTGTTGTGCACTCACCTGGTTTGGCAGGGCCCAGAGGTCAGCCTCAGTGAATGCTGTTTCTCTCTCTTTGTGGCTGAGGATAGGGCAAGGTGAAGCCAACAACTTGCCTGATTCTTGGGGAAAGGTCAGGGAGGCTGGGGCTGGATGGACCGTGGCAGCTCTGGAGTCCAGGAGACCTGTGCTGATGGTCTGTCCAGTTGTCTCACTGACTTTATCCTTTGTCTGTCAGACTAGCAATTGCTTGCTAAGGGCCGATGGCTGTGGTTAAAGACTAAGAGATGGCCCAGCTCCCTGGGGCATTTCACATAAACTGTGCCTGCTGACTGGGCCCCTGCAGGAATCCAAGTCCAGCCTGTGCTGGCTCTTTTCTGCACACTAGGTTTTTATTCCTCTGTCCACCAAAAACCCTGTGGAGGCCCCAGCCCAGTGCTCCTCCTCCGGCAGACAAGGAGAGAACAAAGACTGCCTCTTCAGCACCCCCTCGTCCCTTCTGGGCCTCTGCTGGCCCCTGGGAAATGGTACCTGGAGTGGGCTGGACACCAGCCTCGACCCTGGGAGCAGCTGACCCCTGAACTTTGTCCCCCAATCCCCAGCCTGCAGTAGAACCTGGGATAACCTCCGGAGCATGGTGTGCATTCTTTGTTTTTGTTTTGTTTTCAAGTATGTTCTTGCTTAACGTTTAATTGGCTCCAGTTAGTAGGAAAGCACTCCAAGAGGGGTTATTTATGGCTTACTGTCAAGAGCAGCTATAAAAAGGGCAGTTTGGAGCTGGAGATGCTGAGAGGGGGGAGCTGGCGGGTGAGAGAGAGCGGGAGCACGAGAGCACACTGGATGAAATCAGGTTTTTGCTGCCTCAGCAGTGTGGTTTAAATTGAAGATTAACCCTTTGACCTTCACAGTGTCAAATCACTTGCAGATGGAGGCTCACCCCCTACCCGCAATGTTCTCTGTGTTACTTTGGAGTGGGGCGGGAGCGGTTGACTTCTTTCTCTCCCAAGCAAGTTTGTTGTTCGTGCTGTGGAGCTGGGGGGGCGGGGGCAGCTCAGGAGCCAATCTGATTAAAAACAGCACTGGGCTAAACTCTGGAAAATCCTACGAGCAGGGGAACACGTCTAATCCTCTTGTGCACAGCACACACAGAGCCTGGCGCTTTTTAATGCCAGAACTTCAATTGTTTGGGGAGAACCCAACGATCTCCTCTTGATCCCCTCACCTCCTGTCCTCCCCCTTTGCTGGACTGAAGCGCCGACCTGGAGGCATAGAGATCTGAGCCCTTATTGGGAATAATAAGCAGTGATTTTTTTTCCCTTCCAGCACCAACAGAACCGGAATCGCGCATGGTGGCAGGTCTTACTCTTCATGCACAACCTGGGTCTGAACGGAGAAGAGAACAGGGAAGGGGCAGGTCCCAGGTGAGGCCAGGCTGCCCTCTTTGCATGGCCATCAGGAACTCACGCAATCTGGAACAGAAGGACATTGGGGAGGACTGGCACTGTCTTGTGAAGTTGTTTTGTTATTATTTGTAACAGTTCTTTCTGTGTGTACATACAACATACCCCAGCAGGGACCTTCTTTCCGCTGTTCAGGGCCTCACCCAGAGATGGAGGCCTTTGTCAAACACTGTCGAAGAAGAGGCTGATGCCTGTCTGCGATAAAGAAACTCTCTAGGGCCCTGGCAAGTCGAATCTTCAGTCAGCCAGTGTGGTCCAAAATGTGGTCCAAAACTAAAGTTTTTCTACAGGAACTCAGTTAAAAAATAGGAGACTGGATTAGACCCCAAGTTCCACCTGTCAGTCTTCCCCTTGCACTGGGGCTGTGACACAAAAGGATCTTGGCCTGGGGCTTCCCAACTAAGGCTGGCAGTGTCGCCAGACCAGCCAGCTAGTTCCACATCTAGGTTCTCACATGGTCCATCTGGTGTCCACCCCAAGGGCTCAGGAATCCTTACCCAGAACCTGTGACCTCCAACAGACCTCATGGAGGGTTGGGGTTCTCCAGGGATCCTTTAAAGTGCCACTTTTGAAGCAGGCTTCTGCGTAGGCCTCAATCTGATCTGTGCCCATGCAGAGGTCCCAGAATTTGCCCTTAGCTGCAGAACCATTGCGACTTCTGCTGCCTGGCTGTCAGCCACAGATGAGCCAAAGCCAGTCACCATGCTGCACCCAGCAGCTTGTGCCTTTGTCAGCTGTTTCCAAAAATCACAGCCACCTAGACTGTGTTCTACCCTGGTATCTCACTGAAGGACATAAAGAGACAGGCTTGCAGCAGGGCTGGGAAATGTGGTGGGCACCTCACTGATGCAGGTCTGCCCCCCAGGACCCTGGACCTTAGGTATCCTTGGAAAAATATACCTCCTCCCCATGAACCCTCATTCCTTTTTTCACATCTACTGGGATACAGGAAGAAGCCAGGACCATGGCTTTGTCGATGGAAAAGTGACTTTTATAGTAATAGACAATGATTAGATTGTGGGACCATCAAAGCTGGATACACGTTTCCTGTGTTCCTCCAGCTTCTACTAGGCCAGGAGGGCTTGCTCTGGAGTTCAACAGGGTCCCAGCTGCCTCTGAACTTCACCCTTCTCTTTCTGCTGTGGCACTAATGGATGGAATCTAAAGCAACTGTTCTGGCAGCTCTGATAGTGGACCCAAGGTATCTGTTAGCCAGATACCTAGAAGGTAAATTACAACTTTTGCATATATAAGAAAAGACAACATTGGTGCTAAAGTTGAAGCAAATCCCAAAGAAAGGCAGAGAAGACCCTGGTTATGCTCAAGAAAATCAAAGGAGAAGTCCAGAGTAGACTTTGCAGTCTAAACAAGTCCAAGCTTCTCCAGTTCTGCAGTCTTTAGTACGGCTGAAGGACAATTGATCGGGATGTAGTTGAGCAGGTTGTTCACTGCACGAGGGGACCTCCAGAGGGAGCTAAAGAAGGCTGAAATCCAGCCTGTTCTCTGCTCCAGTCTGTGCACTGAAGTGCGACTGCATCTGCTCAGTTAGGGTGCCTTTCCTTATTTGCACAGAGGTACCATATGTGCTCACAGTGTGATTCTGATAAGGACCTCACATTGTGCAGAAGCCTTTGTTTCAGTCTGCTCAGATGAATGGAGATATTACCTCTTCTCAGCCAGAATCATTTCTCAGGGTGTGTACTGTGGTTTGCCTGCTAAGAAGATGGGTTCCTGCTTCCAAGGAGGAGCCCAGGGAATGGATATGAAGCGTGGCTCTGGGACACACTGACCCTTGTGAAACCCAGCCTTGCTACGTGTCTCCATATCATGTGGTGATTGAGAGGACACAGATTTTTTTTTCTTACCCCTGGATCTAGACTGTGATAAGGGGGTTGCTGGTGCCCACAAAACACAGGGACAGGGGGAACACCAGCCACATTTAGCCCCTCTCAGCAGACTTCCCACCAGGGCTGAGGAAGAAGATGGTCCAAGACCTCACTGCAGAGGCAAAGTCGTCAGTTTCAGAGACCCTGGCATCCCAGGCTGGATGTCCAGTGGTCTGTCCAGAGAACTGAGCCCAGCAGAATGTCCAGCCTGTGGCTAGATGGAAGTCAATCTCACTGCACTGTCTCCTGACAGTGCCAAGCCAGGAACAGATTCACTTAGGTAAATCAGGGCAAAATTAGCCCCCTTCTGTTCCTCCCTCCTGAAAAATACAGTCCTCAAAGTGGGCTAGGAGTAGCGGTGAATCACTGGCCTAGCATGTGCTGCAGGAGGTAACCTGGCAGCGGAGCTCCAGGAGGGCATGTTCCCCCTGGCTGGCTGTTTTAATTGGCTCAGTGATCTGAACTGGCCCCTTCCTCTCTGCCTTCCATTCCCCAAGTCCAGCCTCAGGAGGTGCCCCTCCCCCAGCTTCCATCCCCCACCACAGCAGTCCAGCTCTCTCTGGTCAGGAGGTGGAGACTCAGATTGAGAAGGCGGGAGAGTCTGACCTGGTTCCTGGCCTCTAACCAGCTGAAGCAAGTGAAGCTTTTGTAGAGTGCTAAGGGGTGTGGGAAGGAGAGAGCTGGCCTGTGGTGGGATGCCCTGGAGGAAGAGGAACCTGATATGCAGGATCCAAGCATCCCTTCTAATTCAGAACCCTCAGGGCTTTCTAGAAGTGGCAGCCATGGGAACAGTAGGCCGGACACTGGTTGGGGTGTGTGTGAGGCTGGAGCTCGGAACCATGCCTCTGCCCCTGCCTTGCTTGTTTTGAAGTCTGGCTGCTGGGCAGCTACCCTCCCTTCCCAGGCTCAGTCAGAAGTGCAAAAAGATCTCTCAGGGGCCCTGCTCAGCTCTCAGGGGAGTGAGGCTGAGTCCGAGGCTTGACTGAGCCGGGGCATGGCAGGGAGGGGCTCCTGTCCTGCAGCTTTCCAGGAAGGCGGCTGTGAGGCTACTGTGCTTGTCTGTTGGTAAGAAGCACTGTCCTGAAGACCACTTGTCTTTCATGGGGACTTGATGGGAGGTGGGGATCAGGAGAACCCAAAGCAGCAGAAGATTCCAGGTTTGGAGTCCTAAGGGTCTTTGTGAAGATGAGGACCTCTGGAGGCCATCATGGCCAACTGGCCTGAAAAGGGGTTAACCTGTGAGTCTTCGAAGATTCCAGGGGTTTACTGTGCAGCCTTGAAAGGCCAGCTTCCCTGGATCCCTGGCCATGGCCTAGGTGCTCAGAACTTGCAGGCCCCTCTGTGCAGGTGGCCAGTGCCTCCCCTTCGCCTCCCTAAGTCCTCCGGGCCTTCCGGGAGAGACCCAGTGAGCTGCAGCGTTTCATTCATCCCCAGGTTGGTTGCCCTGGTGTCTGGGCACTCTGCCTCTGGGGCAGGGAGGGGAATGGGGACCCATTCTGTTGTATGCTGTACAGAGTGTTCGGCTTTGTGTCCTTCACATGCATATATGTGTATGTGTATATATAATTCCCGATCAGCTGGTACAATTTTTAATAAAACCATTTAAAGCAAACCTCATCTTTGTTTTTTGAGTTACGATAAATTTCCAAGTGGCTGAGTTGGAGAAAGACTGCTCACTCTTTTCTTACCTGCTATTTTCTTTCCTTCCCTGCAGTACTAGAGATTGAATGCCAGGTTTTTGCATTGAACTACATTCCTACATCTCTGCCTTAATTAATTAATTGATTGATTAATTTTGGAATATTAGGGCTTGGACCCACGGCCTTCACATTCAACTACATCCCAGCCTTTAAGAAATTTATTTCTGTATTTATTTATTTTTGAGACAATGTTTCACTAAATTGCTGAGTTTCCCAGGCTGGGATCAAATTTGCTAAGCTCTTGCCTCAGTCTCCCAGAGTGCTGCGGTGTAGGTATGTGTCACCATGCCTGGCTTCACCTGCTATCTTGAGTGACCCTGACGAAAGCTCTGAGCTTTTGTCACAGCTTCCTTTTCCATCTTGGAGTTGAGAAGAGCAGATCCTGACTGCGTGATAAGCACAGCAGAGGTTCTGTGATTCTAGGCCAATATGTGACACCTCAGACTTCAGTTCTTTGTGGTGTAAAATCCAGCTCTGTAGGCCTTCCAGGATAAAAGGAATGAGTTGGAGGACCTGCTCTGCTGCCCCTCCCACTCATTGGGCAACGGTGCAGGGCTCCTCTTGCTCCTCCCATACAGGATCCACCCCTCTGTCATGCACATGCCTGCACACACACACACACACACACACACACACACACACACACACAGAGGCCATGTTGGCCTTTGCAGTAAATAAGTGGGATTGGGTTGCAGTTCGGGTACTCAGTCTCTAAAAGTTTTGCCATCACTGCTCTACACACGTTTAGGGAACTTCCCTGGCTTGCATTTCTTTGTGGATTAACACTATGTCTGATTTCAAAGGGTAAACTAACCTCTTGATGAACCCGGTATGGTGGTGCATGCTTGTAATCACAGTACTCTGGGAGGAGGCTGAGGCAGGAGGGTTACAAATTAGAGCCTAGTCTAGGAATTTAGAGATTTAGCAGGACCCTTTCTCACAATTAAAAAATATTTTTAGAAAGCCTGGAGCTCAGCACCAGCCCTGGGGGTGCATTCCTAATACTATGTAGATTAATTGATTAATTAATTAATTAAAATAAAGCTTTTGTCAGAGTTCTCTAAGCCTTTTGGAAAAACCACTCCTGGTCTTATCAGTTCCTATCAGGACTAACTTGAGAGCACAAGGGGCCAGCCAGGCTTGCCTAAGAAGCTGTCCACTCCCCAGTGCCCAGCCCAGGACTCTGGTTCCTACCTCTACCCACTCATCGGAAGCCCTTGTGCCTGGACTGCAGCTTGGACTGCAGCCTGGGTGATCTCGTCTGACGTCTGACTTCTCTGTCTGACAGATGCATATGCTGAGGCCCAGTAATTTTTTTTTTCTTTTCCTTTTTTTTTTTAGGCCCAGTAATTTCATTTGGGCTCTTTAAGTAGCTGAGTCAGGCTAAGGGGTCTTGCACCATCCATCTGTGTTTCCATTTGGAAATCGCCCAGACTTTTGCCCAGCTCTGTGAGGCAGCCAACTCGTCCTTTTTAAATGCCAAGTAAGTGTCTGTGCTCCTGTAAAACATGGCACTGCTAACCACTCTGTGTTTGGACAGAGAGGTTTGTTTTTACTGGAGTGTGGTAGAAGTGGGGCCTGGTGCCGTGCCCAGACGTTATCTTACATTTCATGTGTGTGCTATAGTTGAGTATATTAAGCTGTTCCTACGGGGACCCAGGGGATTTGTGGTTGATTGGTGACAGTAATTTCTTTCTTGCAAGTCATCTGCCCCTACAGTGGGAAACTCAGAGTTTGCTCTTGTCCCATTCACCCTCTCCCTGGGTCCAGAGAAAGTGCAGTGTGGAAATTCAGGGCATGGAGGCCCATAGTTGAACTGGAGTGTGCTGTTCCTGTAGCTGTGTGGTAGGCTGCTTATTCCTTGTGTGCTTCCATTTCCTCTGCTGTAAGATGAGACAGTAGTACCCACCTATATAGTTATTAGGGGGGCTAAATGTGTGAAAGTGTGTAAGGCTGCTTAGGAATAATATTTGGTGCTGGCCATGATGGCACACATCTATAATCCAAGCTACTCAAAAGGCTGAGCCAAGAGAATTCCAAGTACAAGGCCAGCCGGGGTAGTATAGACCCTGTCTTTAAATAACGTATCACAAGACTAAGGATGTAGCTCAGTGGTAGAGAACTAGAATATGCAGGACCCTTGGTTCAAGATGCAGTACTCCTCCCCACACCACGTACACAAAAGAAACAGTGCTTGGTGCATTTTAAATTTTTAGTAACTGCCAACCCTTCATAATACTACTTTTTATTATTTGTTAAATTGGTGGACTCTAGCTGGTCTTGCTTGGAAATGTCTCTGCCATCTGCCTTCTGTCCATCTCCGCCTCATAATCTTAAGCCCTTGTGCCTGGACTGCACAGGTTCCTAACTTGCCCCTTGCCAGTCTTGCCCCTTCCACGGGGGCAGAGTGTGTACGTGCATGCATGTGCATGTGTGTGCGTGCATGTGAGTGTGTGTGCATGTGTGCATGCATGAGTGTTGGAGTAAGGGTCTCACGATGTAGTTCAAACTGGCCTTGAGTTCATTAGGTAGCGGGGGCTGGCCTTGAACTCACAGTGGTCCTCCTGCCTCCTGCCTCTGACAAGTACCCACCACACCCAGTGTGTGTGCATGTGTGCATGCATGAGTGTTGGAGTAAGGGTCTCACGATGTAGTTCAAACTGGCCTTGAGTTCATTAGGTAGCGGGGGCTGGCCTTGAAATCACAGTGATCCTCCTGCCTCCTGCCTCTGACAAGTACCCACCACACCCAGTGTGTGCGTGTGTGTGTGTGTGTGTGTGTGTGTGTGTGTGTGTGTGTGTGTGTGTGTTGAGGCCTGCCTCAATCAGTAGTGAGTCAAGCCTTGAGCTGGCTATATAGCCAAAGATGGCCTTGAACTCATGACCTCTTCCCTTAGCCTCAAGTGCTGGATTATAGGCCTGTGCCCTTTTCCCAGCTTGCTAGGGGCTTTTCTAGAGGTAATTCCATTGCCCCCACTGAAAACTTGCTCTACGGGATTGCTCCTTAGCTGCCTCTGCAGGTACCCCATTGTATTAGTATTTTGTGTACATGTTATGCACAAATTAGCCCCCTTAATTTAGCAGTTTAAAACAACAGACATTTATGATCTCAGAGTTTCTATGGTCAGGAATGCAGGAGCAGCAGCCCAAGGTAACAACAAGGTAAGAGCTGGTATTAATATGGTGATTCCTGAAGCATCCATATTACTTGTATGAAGTCAACTGTGCACTAGAAAATGGGTAGCGGAGTGAGAGGGAGGGCATGATATATTGAAACTCAGTGCAGCACGTGTGCTGTTCTCTCAGGAGCAGGTAGTGCCTGCCTGCAGGAGTCTGGTGTGGGAGCATGGGTGATAACCCTTCCTTGGTCTCATGTCACATCAGCATCTGATCACACTCAAAAAAAGATTTCCCTGGTCTACTGTGGCCTGGACACCAGCCAGCATCTTCTTCCACTGTTGAACTAAGGTTGGAGAAGAGAGGTCTCCCAGTAAGGATTTCCTGAGACATGGTCATGTCTGCTTAGTGAATTTCGTGGCATTTTAAAGGATTTTTCAAGGACAGTTTTCATGTGATTACTGCCACACAAGACATCTTGGAACCAATTCCATCTGTCTGGCCACTGCCCCTTTTATTTTATTTTACTTTTTGCTAGTATCGTGAATTGAAACCAGGGTCTCACACATGCTAGGCAAGCGCTTTCCCACTGAACATTCCCAACCCCTTTTAAATTTTTTAAAATTTTGAGACAGGGTGTCACTTAACTGCCTAGGCTGGCCTCAAACTCCTAATTCACCCCCTCGAGTAGCTGGGGTTACAGGAGTGTACCATGATACCCAGCCTCATCACTACCCTTTGACTGATCAAAGTCCCCTGGCTCCTTGCCACACTCATGTGAGTGACATCAACCTTCAGTGACAAGATGAGGCCTACTGATGAGTCAGTCAGTGTCAGTGGTCTGAGGGACTACCCTAGGTCCAGTACAAGGAATCACAAGAAACAGGCCACATAAGTCCCTTTCCTGAAAAGTGTGTCTTGCAGGAAATCCAAGTTATAAGGCAGAATGGGAAACCTGACCAACTAAGATGAGGTTCTTAAGCTGACTCCTAGCAGCTGAATGACCTGAGGTGAGGAAGTGACTTCCCCTCTGGTCCTAGGGGTCCTCATCTGTGTGTGTGTGTGTGTGTGTGTGTGTGTGTGTGTGTGTGTGTGTATGTGGGCAGGGAGTAGGACCAGGATGCCTGTTTATCCACCATTTTATCTAGCAGTTTGTTGGGCTCTTAAACTGTTGTTCCTGCTGGAAAAAAATATTAACCCTCCCCCATCCTGTGCTCAGGAAAAGGCACATAACATGCACAAGAATTTAAACATAGGCTTTCAGACAATGAATTGAGTGTTTGATCTGCCAACATAACCAGGTTTAAAGACAGTGGTTTTATTGCAAAGCAATAAGCAGGAGAATGAGCCCTGCAAATACCTAGGGCCCTGAGCAAACTCTTTCTCATTCTACTCCTTATTTTCTTCTTGCTGCAGGAGGTTGCCTCTGTGTCCTGTGCATTTCACCCACGTGCGCTGGGAAGGCAGATGGTGCAATCTCTGGAGACTTCTGTTTACCATATTGCATTCCTGACTTCATGTTTTGTTTTGTTTTTTTCATTCCTGACTTCAGAGACTCATGCTTCCCATCAGCACACGCACAGACTGAAGCCAACAATGGACTGGTTCTTGTAGAGGCCACGACCCCAGCCCAGACAGTGTATTTGTGGCCAGTTTTCCTAGTAGCCCTTCTCTCTTACCCAGTTTAAAGAGGGGTAGTGAATTTGAGGTTCATGCTGAATGGGCTGGCGGGCAGCAATCAGACCCTAGAAATTCAGGAGAATGTGGCCTGTGGCAGTGGGAGATCCAGAGCTGAC